TATTCTTTTACATTTTCTGGACACTTTTTAGACATGGACCATATGCTAATTCTAGCCAACACTAAAAAAACTAAATTGATACAGAGACGCAATTAAACAAAGAAAACTACTAAATGGAAAACAGAAACCTATCGCTGGCTAGATTATACATCTTGGGTTGCCTCCCAAGTAGCGCTTGATTTAGTGTCATGGCACGACGCAAGTTTCTTGATTACTCAGACTTCATCAAGATTGTAGGCCTCAATCACTTCTTGCACACTTTTAGCAATTCGCAAATAGATCTTGATCCTTTGCCCGTTTACCATGAACCTTGTTCCTTCACTATTCTCAAGCTCAACCGCTCCATGGGGGATCACTTTTTTGAGCAAAAATGGCCCAGTCCATTTGGACTTGAGTTTTCCTGGAAACAAGCGCAACCTAGAGTTGATTAGAAGCACAAGATCGCTAACCACAAATTCTCGCTTTTCAATTCTTTGATCATGATACCGCATTATCTTCTCTTTGTACAAAGCTGAACTTTCATAAGCTTTTAGGCAAAACTCATCAAGCATATTCAAGTCATTCATTCTTTGATTAGATGCGGCTCCCCAATCCAAATTTAGCTTCTTCATTGCCCACATCGCCTTATGCTCTAGCTCTACCGGTAAATGACAAGACTTCCAATATACAAGTGGGTAAGGGGACATACCTATGGGGGTCTTGTATGCAGTGCGATAGGCCCACAGAACATCATCAAGCTTCCTTGACCGATCCGTTCTATTAGCATTCACAGTATTCACCAAAATCTATTTGATTTCTCTGTTGGACACTTCAACTTGCCCACTAGTCTGTGGATGGTAAGGAATGACTACATTGTGACGGACACCATATTTCTCAAGTAGTGCCTTGAACAACTTATTACAAAAGTGAGAACCTCTATCGCTGATAATCGCCCTCTGTGTATCGAATCTGGAGAAGATATTCTTTTTCAAGAATGCGGTGACACTTTTACCTTCATTGTTGGGGAGCGCAATTGCTTCCACCCACTTCGATACATAATCAACCGCAACAAGAATATACTTCATCCCATATGAACTCACAAATGGATCCATAAAATCAATGCCCCATACATCAAACAACTTTATCACCAATATAGGATTCATAAGGAGCTCTTGCCTCTTTAAAATCGCTCCATCTCTTTGGCAACGATCACAAGACTTGGCGAAATCATGAGCATCTTGGTGGATGGTAGGCCAATAGTACCCACACTGCAAAATCTTATGCGCAGTCCGAATACCACTATGATGCCCACCAACAGGCGAAGAGTGACATTCCTCTAGTATACTCATCATCTCAACCTCGGGCACACAGTGACGAATAATCCCATCCGCACAACTACGATACAAATAAGGTTCATCCCACGGCGAATAATCCCATCAGCACAACTACGATACAAATAAGGTTCATTCCAAAAGAATTTCTTCACATCATGCATAAACTTTCTCCTTTGGTGAAAAGACAAGTCCGGGGGCACCAAATCGCTTGCCAAATAATTAGCAAAGTCTGCGAACCAAGGAATCAAATCATGAGAAGCAGCCAATACCTGTTCATTTGGAAAAGCATCATTAATTTCAGCCCTATCTCCGAGCTTTAGCATAGCCTCTTCCTCTAATCTGGACAAGTGATCGGCAACTTGATTTTCGGTCCCCTTTCTATCTTTTACCACAAAATCAAACTCTTGCAGCAACAATACCCATCTAATCAATCTTGGTTTTGCATCCTTTTTCGCCATCAAATACCTCAATGCAGAATGGTCAGTATGCACGATGACCTTAGTACCAAGCAAGTAGGATCGAAATTTCTCGAATGCAAAAACCACCGCAAAAAGTTCTTGTTCGGTCACAGTATAATTTTTCTGGGCCACATTTAGAGCTTCACTTGCATAGTAAATAGGGTGAAGAATTTTCTCTTTCCACTGTCCTAGTACCACACCAAGCGCCACTCCACTTGCATCACACATTACCTCAAACGGTTGTCTCCAATCAGGTGAAATAATGATAGGTGCAGTAACTTACTTCTTCTTCAACTCTCCAAATGCTCTCAGACAAGAATCATCAAAATCAAACTTATACTTCTTTTCAAACAGTTTGCACAATGGGTGTGTAATTTTTGAAAAGTCTTTTATGAATCTCCTATAGAACCCAGCATGCCCAAGAAAACTTCTAACACCTTTTACAGAAATAGGTGGCGGAAGCTTTTCTATTACCTCAACTTTAGCTCTATCAACCTTAATACCTTTCTCTGAAATTCGGTGACCCAACACTATACCTTCTTTAACCATGAAATGACACTTCTCCCAATTCAGCACCAAGTTAAAGTCTTCACACCTTTTAAGCAACCTCGGCCAAATGACCCAGACAACGATCAAAAGAATCTCCTACAACTGAAAAATCATCCTTGAACACTTCAATAGTGTCCTCCACCATATCAGAAAATATCGACATCATACAGAGCTGGAAGGTTGCTAGAGCATTGCACAACCCAAATGGCATCCGTTTGAAAGCAAAAGTCCCATAAGGGAAAGTGAAGGTGGTCTTCTCTTGGTCTTCTGGAGCTATAGAAATTTGATTGTAGCACGAATACCCATCAACAAAACAATACAAACCCTTTCCTGCAAGTCTATCCAACATCTGGTCCATGAATGGCATAGGAAAGTGGTCCTTTTCTGTCCACGCATTCAACTTCCGGTAATCTATAGAAACTCTCCATCTAGTCACAGGCCTCATTGGAACAAGCTCATTTCTTTCATTTGGAACCACAGTAATATGACACTTTTTAGGCACACACTGCACAGGACACACCCAACTACTATCTGTAATGGGATAAATAACTCCCGCATCCAGCCACTTAATGATCTCCTTTTTAACTACCTCTTGCATAGGTGGATTTAGTCTTCTCTGGTGCTCGATACTGGGCTTATGATCTGGCATGAGTTGGATTGTGTGAGAGCAAATACCGGGAGGAATCCCAATAATATCCGCAATAGTCCACCTAATAGCTCGCTTGAACCTCTTTAACACAGTCACCAAGCACTCTACTTGTCTCGCATTCAAATCTGTCGCAATGATGACCGGCAAAAGTATTCTCTCTGCCCAAGTATACGTACCTCAAATGTGGTGGTAGAGCCTTAAGTTCCACTTTCAGTGCCTCCACAATAGATGGTCTTACGGGTGGGGACTCGCAATTCTTCATGTCTAACTCATACTTCTTTTGTTTGGACCGATATTCACACCTATCGAGTGAGGCTACCAACTCATCATACTCTTCAATACCATCACTATTGAAATTCATCGTAACTGCTGCTAGTGCCTCAACACCTAGTCGCTCTTCAATTTGCACTTCTGTCACACTCTCCACTCTGTAGGTTATAACAGATACTGTTTGGAGCTCACCACTCTTCCTCATGGACCTACAAATATTGAAAGTTGCTTCTTCATTGTTTAGTCTGAACTTCATCTGTCCCTTTTCCATATCAACCAACGAATGCCCTGTGGCAAGAAATGGTCTCCCAAGGATGATGGGAACCTTAAAATCAACCTCACAGTCAAGAATCACAAAATCTACCGAAAAAATGAAACACTCCACTTTCACTAGCACATCATGGAGTACACCAATGGGCCTCTTCACAGTTCGATAGGCCATTAGTAACCGCATTGTAGTGGGTTTTGGTCCCCTAGACCCAACTTCTTGTAACTAGACAATGGCATGAGGTTGATGCTAGCACCAAGATCACACAATGCCTTAGCAAAGGGTAACAATCCGATAGTACATGGAATCGTGAAGGCACCAGGATCCTCTTTCTTTTGCACAAGAGACCTTGTAGCAATAGCGCTACAATGCTGCAATCTATCATCATTTTCAAAACTCACACACCTCTTCTTTGTTACCATATCTTTCATAAACTTTGCATACCCAGGCATTTTCTCCAAAGCTTCTATCAACGAAATATTGATGGAAAGCTTCTTCAACATAGTAGTAAACCTGCGATATTTACCATCTTCAATATTCTTCACTAATCTCTGTGGAAAAGGTGGTGGAGGTCTAGGTATGGGGACCACTTTCTGAGATATATCCGCTTCTTCTCTGTCGCATTCTTAGACTTTTCTCTAATCTCTACCACATCATCTTCTTTTCTAATCTCAACTTCCACCACAGACGGCATAGGTGGATCAATGGTTTGCTTACCCCCTCGAGTAGTAACTGCCATAAAATGACCTTCATTCACTACAAGAAAGTTGAGATACGACGACATTATATAAATGTTGTATTCAGCTGTTTAAATGTCATAAATTAATTTTCCAACATTTAATTTACATTTGGATCAAATGTCGTTTATTTCAGTGTCGGGAAATTTCCGATATTTACCTAAATGTCGTTAAGCATTTATGACATTTCTTTTGTGACATTTAGGTAAATGTCAATATGAAATTTATGACATTTATTTTTGACATTTTGATAAATGTCAACAATAATTTTACGACATTCATTTTGCAACATTAAGGTAAATGTTGATAGTAAATATATGACATTTATTTTGTGACATTTAGAGAAACGTCAAATTAGGAATTTACGTACATTTATTTTCTGCATTTCGGTAAATGTGGATAAGAAAATCTCTGACATTTACTAAACATCACTTAAATTTCTAACATTTAGATTAATGTTGATAAAAGTTTCTTTACGTACATTTACTTTGGGCTAATATAAAATGTCACAATAAATTTTTGACATTTTAACCAATGTCAGCATATAAAATGTTAAATGTCGTAAAAATTAGTGACATTTAAATAATATTTTGCAAATTTTCTTTTAATTTTTCTTTATTTAGATTAATAGCAGCACCAAATTTTTTAAAATATCAATACTAAAGCTCTCCATAATTTTTATTTTGACACAAACTTAAATTATACATAAATCAATGAATTTTAATAATATAATCAAATAGCAAAGTAGCAATATAATAAGTGTCCAGTAAAAGTTAAATGATCTCAAAGTAAATAATGTGTTCTATCTCAAGTAAAATTGAAATATAACTAGAAGCTAATAATTTCAAAACCACCTGCTTTTCACATTTTATCAACTCCTAATTGGATTAGATCTCTTAATTTCTTGAATAAAACGTGAAATAGCTTTGTAAAACCATCAATCCACAGGTCAAGTATCTTGTTGCTAGTAATTGATCACCTCAATCGTTCCCCTTCAAAAACTCTGTACAAAAAATTCACATAAAAGAAAGAATTATGAATAAATGAAATTATTTCCTTTTTAACCAGAACAAATTGTGAATTAAAAATAATAATTTTCTCTACAACAAACGATCGAAGAATCAATGAAATAACAATAATTATAGATTTTTCTCCAAAAATTGTCGTCTTGTAATTTTTTCCGACTTACCCACTTTTTTTTTCCTTGGCCAACTGCACTTCTTCCCGTCTTCCGAACCGTGTTTTCCTGAGAAGAAATATTAGATTGTTTAATTTAATAGTTTAAAAAATACAAAACTTAACAAATCTGTTAGAGAGGTAAATGGCTAACTAAATGTTATCCCTTATAGTACTATCTTATAAAATAAAATAGATTTAGTTACTCTCAAGTATTGCTAGCATTGTAAGAAGCTAGGACACTCAATGATAAATTGTAGAATTTTGGAGAAAATAAAAGTTAATGAGGAGAAGGAGGCAGATGCAAAAGGATTTAAACTGAGGCCTGGGCAAAGTTTGTTATCAAAAATTTAAGAAACAGAGTACCAGTCACTTAACTAATTAGTCAATTATCATTAGAAACATATCTAAGCAATCCATTGGCAATTTAAATTTTTCATTGTTAGTGAGAGTTGAGTGAATAATAAATTGAAAGGAGGTTCATGGCCAAGGGAAAGATGTTCGAGTAACGGTGATTATGGAATGTACTAGTTGTGTCCAGCTACTCCTTGAGGGAAAATTTCTAAGGCATCCATGTGACATATTTTTGAACCAATTTTTTTTTATCACAGAAGCACAGTCCACTCAGGGAAACACGCATCAAGGACAGAAGCAAAAATCTACAATCGTATCCCAGAGGAAGTTAATATCAGGTGAGAAATTAATAAACAGTAAAGCAAAGGAATAAGGATGGACAGATTTCAAAAGTTGAAGAAAAAAAACAATGGAATGTTGTTTTGTAGGCTTCAACGACTACTGGAAATCATCCCCCCTCAAGCAACGGACACAAATCATGGGCAGATATATATAGTAGAAGATTGCAACAGTTGAGATATACGGTCAGACACACTAAAAAAGGATCAGTTTGGGGCATGGGCATGGATAAAAGCAGAGAATCGTTTGGCTTCCGCAAATTATCAAAGACATGAGCAAGTACATAGTACTGAGGGGCATAATCTGATGAAGAATAAAAATTCCAAGATAATTGAGGGGAAAAGAGATGTATGAACTGGAAAAAGATTGATACACATACAAGGAGTTGACTCAACTAATACACACGTGGGTATAAAGAAAGATACTGGCCATATATTATGTCAAAATGAATGCAAAGAAACTGCAGGTCTTAAGGAAAATGAGGAGGATACCTTGCACAGAAAAGAATCAAACCAACTGCAGCCTATATATGGAGATAGAACCATATGAATCAGACGGGGGAACTTCTGTTACTAATAAGACCCAAATTTTGGATATTGATTAGGGGGAGGAGGATAAGTGCTCAAAACTACCACTTGATAATAATACATATGACGCCACAACAAAGGAAAATGAAGATGCTGCCAGGATGAATACAAAGGACCTGACAGAAAATATTAACCAGGGTATCATAATTGCTAATCAAATGGAAGGTCATAAAGGAATCAATACCATACAAGCTGGAACAAAAAATCAGGTATGTATTTCTGCTTTTGAGGCTTATTCAGAGTGCTTATCTCAGTCGTTAGCATTTGAACATTGCAATGAAAATAATAAGTTTAAGAAACTAAGGAATGACAATCAGAATGAAGGGAAAAAAGGATAGACTGGAAACAATGCATCTTCACTCTCCAAGTATGATTTTCTTAAGTGAAACAAAAAATAGAGGAAGCATGGTTAAGAGGGTACAAAGACAAGTAAATATGGTGCATGCTATAACTGTGGAGCCGATGGGATTATCAGGAGGTCTAGCTTTATTTTGGAATGATAATATCCAGGTATGTGAATCACATTCTTCTCCTTTTTATCTCGCAACTTTGATACAAGATGGCTTAGTTGATTGTATGATTGTAATGGCTTTGAGCAATCTCGAGTTAGCTTTAAAATCAAACATTGTCAGGAGATCCTTCCTATGAAAAGATTGCAACATGATGGAATGTGCATATACAAGAGTATGCTATGTTACAAGTTGTAAGGAGATTGAAAAACTTGAAGAGAAGCTTGAAGGGTTAAATGCTCAAGCTTTCAAGATTAATGTAACTGAATCTGATGAGGATCGAAAGGCTCTCAAGTAAGCTCACGAACTACTACTATCAATTACTATCAGATACATTAAAGGTTGAATTTCAATAATAGGAGAAAAAAAAGTACAAAAAATTTCAACAATCATCTTAATTGGCTAAAAATTATTTACTACAGAAGAGCAAAACAACATGGACTAGGCTTGGCAATGACAATACTAAGTACTTCTGTTCAGTTATAAATAACAAAAGTTTAAAACATGCTACCACTCAGTTGAAGGATGAATAAGAATTCGGCAAACAGATCAGGCCATTATAGCTAACATATTTGTTAATTACTACAAGACTCGTCTAGGTACAGAAACCACCTATAGAGTTAAAACGTTAACTAGCCTCTTACTGAATGGTCCAGTTTTGTCCACAAGTCAGCAAATGGAATTGTTAAAACCATTTACTGAGGTAGATGTTACGACAGTCGAATTTCAGATTGGTTGCAATAAGAGTCCTCATCCTAATGGCTACGGTACCAATACTTTATCAAGCTATTGTAGTATAATTACGCAAAGATATAATCAAAACAAAGCTACAACTCACCTTTTTTGGGTCAACAACTGAATCGGGCGATAATGATTGTTGGCGATCTTCAATA